GACAGAACAGAATAATCGAGCACAGTGGCTGCTTGAGTTATTACCGGCATTTCTTGGTCAACGCTTGAAATATTTTTGAGAATCTGCAGGCGACGCTCTTATGATAAGTTTTAATTTTACCAGTGAGTACAAAAGTACACTAGAAAACCTCGGTATTGTAACACAAGCAACCACGAGAAGGCGAGTGGATATCAACTCACACCGGCTCAATTGTCCTCTTTCCATTCCTGTCAAGCTAAAGATAAGCTTTTTGCATTGAGCAATCCCTGAGGGATTTACCGTGCATTTGAATTCATCATGAATGATTACGGGTGACTGAATGAATATCTGGTCTGCACAGTGACCTCTGTTTCTCCACCGATGTATCAAGTCATTGTTTCATGGACGAGTTTGGCACCAATTGACCTTCTGCTGACCATTCCAGGAATGGAAGGTTCGATGATCCTGAGGCTCGAGATCGGACCAACGCCGATGTGTGCATTACGGGGCCTCTCTAGCCACTGCATTACACGAGTGACAATTTTTCCATAAAACGTGTAATTATTGAGTGTATGCAGTTCTCTACTTGAAACTTTACTTCGTACCAATGATGTGTACTTTTTACAATCGGTCTGAATAATATTTCCTCCTCCAGGGAACCACAATGGCTTAACCAGCAAATCTCCGAAAAATGGTGATTATGCTGGGGCTCGCACAATGATGATGGGCCGTTAAAGTATCAAGTCAGGTAAGTAAAAATGTTTCTTACAACGACTGCATCCAGTACTGATGCTGATTTTCCGGTGTATTCGCAACCCTCATTCGTTTGTGTTGTCTTATAACATCCTACATATCATCTCTATATTCTTGGTCCACTAGTATGAGAAGTTAACGGCATGGAAGCATTCCTGCTTCCAATGGTGACTTAGAAATTCATGGGAAGGGCATTCACTGAGGTCTTCCGCTTGTTCGTACTATAGATCTTTCATAGCTGTGTCCACAAAAAGATGCTTGACCTATTCAGTAACTTCAGTCTTGGTGAGTTACCACAAAGGGTAGTACCATGAACTGTGGACATCACAATAATGTACTTCTTCGCTTTCCACTTCAACATCATTAAACAACTTCCATTCTGCTGTGTTCGTCGTGATGTTAAACGTCGTCGCAAAGACCTCTACTTGAAATTAAGGGTCTGGCTCTATGTTTTGACAGCCATTCAACCGTTAGCTGACTCTCCCCAAGCTCTGCCTCTATTCCAGCCGAACAGTAATGTTGGAATGGCGCTAGCAAAGCGCTTTTTCATATGTTGCCTCATGTTTTTACTTTTTATTTTCTACCTACTACAATTTTTACGGCAGGGTACTGAGCGAAATACAGCCACAATGTTGCTGAGATATTTGCAAAACTCTGGACCACAGGTGTCTATGATGAGGAACGAACGCGCTATTGTCCTCTCCGGGAGTAACGCGTTCACCATCCCGTTGACAGTTGATTGTTGATGGCGCTGATCGATAGAACTTGCTGAGAGACAGGCGAAACGAAGAACCAGCATGGTGTGGTGGTGAACGCGTAACTCCCCGTAAAGGACAATAGCGCGTTCATCTCCCACTTTAAACACTTGTGGTCCAGAGCTTTGTAAATATCTCAACAACATTGTGTTTCCGTCATATTTTCGGTTTTTCCTTTTCACCCGTAATATATCATACTACCACTGTCTTTCTTCTGTTTCTTAGGCATACTTGTCTGCATTTCTGTGTGCTCCCTGTTTTTTTCCCCATATGTGAAGCGTTGCTGGTATGAGCGGATAGTTGTGTGGGAAACAGATGTGGGCAGATTTGTCGTCGGCGTAGCTCGGAACGCCCAGAGCTCACACATTGGTGACGAGGTCGACTAAGTACACCCCCATAGAGTCGAGTAGGAAGAATGGGCATCTCGAGAGCTTTCTGCAATCTATTTGTCAGTACGCAGAAATTCGTGTTGCAATGAAACAAAAAACTTATCAAGTAGCTGACTAACATAGTTTTCGTTGGAGTCGATGTATCGTTTGCTTAATCAATGACTACCAATTGTTAAGAAGAGGCCAAGGTCTAGAGACCGTAATCTTCTTCTGTTTCAGAGAGTAACTGTGTAGTTTTCATTTCGGATAGTTCTCATTATTCAACAGCGGGTTAATGTTGGGAAGATGCTCTACTGGAAGAAAATCTGCTGGTGAAAATCAGCTGTGTGTTTTTTCTCACTCTTGAAAGTGTTTTCAGTCTAACTCCACAGAGAAGGAAATGTGAAATTGAGTAGTTTCGATCAATCACTGAGAAGCTAGTAGAAGCATACATTTTATTGGCTACACTTTGTTACCTTCTCCACTTCATATTGGCATCACCGAGAAGAAAACGGCGCTCTTGATGGCTTTTTTGAGAAGACTCGTTGACGACGAATATTATCAAGGGTTTTTATACATGACTGTATTGACATCTTTATGGATTGTTCCTCAGGGTTGTTATAAAACTTGTATTCCGTTAAAATCTCGTCGCCTTCGCCCACTTCACAACCAGAATGATCTCAATCGACTGACCATAGCCGTTCATTCTTGTGATGTGTGTTTTCGTAGTCGCATCGAGTCGAATCCAGTTAAGTGAAGCACCTCTCCAAACGCTTCATATTATCAAGCGTAATGGGTCAGTAAAAAATCATTCTGTTATATCTGCTATATGAGAACCTCATCTTCCGTAGGAGCCATAAAATTCATTGGATGATCTAAAAAGTAGAATTTATGTGATGGTGGTAGAACAATCTTAACGAGGAGACTTCCGTCATTGTAAATAACCCCGTGACTCCGCCCATTGTTCGGTCTCGGCATAAATAGCGGAACATAGTGAGCTGCTTGTGTGACAGAAGCATGGAACAGCAGCATTACCATCGTCCCAGACCGGGGGGAATGGCTGGTGAGTGTAAATATTCGAGCATAGTTTAGAATTCGAATACCTGTCAACCTAGCCAAATACTGTAGAATTCGGACGTTGACAGCATTAAAGCAGAGATGTTTTGCAGCACTTTGTTGCTCGTAACTCCTTGCCTCATCTTTGGTTTACTTTCATTGTTTTTAGAATTTTACAGTCTTTATCAGTTCATGTTGCAATGCATGACATCCATTTGTTTATTCAACGATCGCTCACACCTCAGCTTACGTAAGATTCCTGGAAAAATCGATGTCGACCTAAGATTGCTTCGCTATCATTTATTTCTTCAACCACTTGTTCTAATACCTAACCAATATATAAAAATCACAGAAAATAAAACCATCTAGCTTGGCTGGTTTGGATCCAAAGCTTTCTTTTTGAACATAAATTCTTAATAGTTTACATTAACTGTAAAGTTTGTCATCGTTTAACAGCTGAGTTTTTCTTAATGGATTATTTAGTTAAAGTAAAGTGATCTTCAGGCACAGTTCTCGACAAACAAGCGAGCAAGTTCAATAACGAGGAAGCCGAGTATCTGCTGCAGTGGATTCAGGTGGGTGAGAGCCGAGTTCTTCATTTTTAGACGTCCTCAACCCATAATGGACGTGCAGCTGCCCAAGGGAATATAAGCAATTTTTCGCCAACTGCAGATTTTCTGCTTTTTTGACGATAAAAAGTAATTTTTCAATATCCAGAGGACTTTTAAGGATGTGAGAGAGGCAGAATTGTAGGAAAGACTTTAACCTATTGTCCTATGATTGTAGATGAGATGTATGCTACTACTTACTAGTTACTACAGTCCATCATGCAAACACATTGCTGTCAGTACTTGGAAGTACTTTACACCATATGTTGAGTGTATTTCGCTGTTTTTCATGTCCGGATATTCCATACAACAGCGATAGCAATTAAAATGAAACAACAGTTAGTTGTTAGTCAAATTATCGGTCAGTGAACTTCTTCGAAAAGAGATTTTTTGTAAACCATTAAATATAAGATGTTGCTTTTCTCATCTCACACCTCCTGGATCTAGTTTTCATTAGCTATCGGGACAATATACACAGTATGATAAGAAAGTTCTGGAATTCAGTGAGCTAAAAGTGGATACCACAGGGTCCATACAGGACACTATGGGTTAAAGAATGCGCGACTGCTCATCAGTGACGTGTCTTCATTTAGCGCGTCACCGAATTCGCTTGTTGATTCACAAAATTTTCTCTTTCTTTGTTATTCATCCATTCTTATTATTGGCTAGTGATATTTCAATGTTTGAAGAGAGCTCTATCGATGAATCAATTCTCAACACCTGAAATTTTTTAGCAGCTCCTATGAATATGTGACTCTTTTGATTACTCTTTCAGTTACGATGGAAATTTCTTCTTCATCTATTTGTTAGCGATCTTCTCCATTGAATCTTGCATGGTCCATCATTTTAGTTCTCCGATCAATTGTTTCCTGACCTCAACAGTGGAATTCTGAGCCGATTTCTCACAGAAGGAACAAATGCTTCGCATTTTTTTCTACCATCATGAAAGAAGTCATTAAACCCACCCATCAGTTGGTGATCATTGAGACTAAAAACGGCTGGTTCAGTCTAGATTGCTTCGTGACACACCTGTGTTTGGATTTACATGGATTGTTGGCGTTTTGAGCTGACTTTTATGCGTTAGGTGCACTGATTTGTGAGTCTTCTATGCTAAAGGTCTACACTCGTACCAACGTTTGGTACACCATGATGTTCTTGCAATGCAGGAAGGAGCGTTGATAGCTGCCATAGAGTTTCCTTCATGGTTTCAACCAATCTTCAGAAAGCTTCTTCATCGTCTGGTCATAAATTTCCTAACCCGATCACACCTTTCCTAATGGCACTGTTCATTTCATTGAAACTACTGGATTATCCAGGCGGAGGATAAGTAATTATTAGCGTTAGTGTGCAATAATGCATATATGGTCACTGGTTCGACCCTCCTTCGGCCGAACTAGAACTCTCATTTCTATGGCGTTGGAAACTTTATACCAGGTTTACTGCGAAAAACTTCCTACAATTAGCAGAGCTTTCTCATAATTCCAGTGAGAATCAACTAACCTTGAGTGGCAGCCGAAGTAACATGCAACTCTGAAGTCCTTTATGGATGATGCGTGCGAGGCAACCAGTCAGTCACATGATAGAAATATGGGGTGCAGCATATCTCAACTCGGGTCGTATAGATAATAAATACATAAAATTAGATTAACAGAACGGAATCTTCAATACGAGAATCTTTCTTTTGCTGAGTCATTGATATGCATTTCTCGTGCACAGTTAATTGGCACGTAGGCACTGTGACTAGTTTCGTGCAACTATTCGTTGGCCCAAAATACTCCTTGCATCCCTCGGGCCCACCGCAAACATTGGCCTATTGGCCATCATGCAAGATATGTAGCTAAGAATTTCTTCACTTCTGGCAATGAATAAGTTCACCTAACTAACAAATGACGAAAACGAAGTCTTCGATAATTGGCTTTCAGTGCGATTGAGATCTGTGTCGATACTGTCCTTCGTGAAGCGTAAAATGGTAATTGTTCAGGAAAATGAAAATTGACTCTTGAGAATTTCTTTTGTAATGGGAAAGTGAAAAATGGCAAACCTTTGTAAAACTCCTTTCGATCACTTATGTGAACATCCCAGGCAATCGTCTTCACTGTTCAACGGTTTGATGAACATCGCATAATATCTTTTCTAAAATTTCTTAAATGACGAAGTTTCCGGTCTAAATTTTGTCATTTCAGCGGTTTACTGAACAACGACTAGGAGGACTTATCTTTTTGGATTGCTAAGAGATTGACAATGACATTTCGGCTAACGTCTCGTCTTCAATCCGTCGTGCTAGTATGACTGTCGGAGGATTTCGGGGAGAATCAACTCGACCAGCATTCAAGGGCATTCACCCCGAATACGGAAATTCTCAAGCAGAAGCCCTACCTTCCCCCCACTCCAAAAAAATATTCAACTTTTATTTACTGTCTTTTTTCGTTGCAGGGTGTTATATGATATGCAACCATAATGCTGCTGAAATATGAGCAAAACTTGGAACTTCAGTTGTGATTTGAACCTGTAATTACCATTTCCAGGAGTGGTGTAGTCCTCAATGAGGGTTAAGATCGGAATTATTTGAAGGACTTTGATTTCTGGCTTATCCGTGCTTATCACGCAGTCTTAATTTGAGATTCATTAACATGGCGGTAAATTCCGCCTTCTCCATTACTCCAATGCGACGAATTATACAGTTTTACAGCACGTTATGTAAGGTAACGTTATCAATTAAATAATACCTCAGTGTTAAACTATAATCTGAATCCCACAACATGGCTGATTGGGATATTGCTTAATAGTATCACTTATTTCATAGTTAGTTGGAAACAGATTGGCAGGAATTTGATCAAAACTAGAAAGATTGTCTCTTGCTGTTGTGGAAGTAAGTGTTTAATCACTCTGACTGCTAACGCCAATTGTTTGTTCTGTTTCACTTAAATAGTCTAATGAGCATCTCGCACTAGTATCAGCCCGACTTTCTAACTCCTTGACGGCACGAAGGCCTTTTTCCCCAATCCCGAACGTCATTTACAACGGACTTCCTACGGAGAGTGGTGTTATAAGATACTCGACTTGGCTCATTGTTGTTGAAATTTGTGAGAACAGCCAGTTCATCAGCCTAAACAGCAAAAAAAATTTGGGGAGACCTGAAGTGGAAAGATAAACGTTCTTTGTGGTGACGTGACTTTCGTCCTTGAAAAGTGAATAAATCCGAACGTTTGTTTGCTCGGGATAAACTGCTCGGCAAAGTTTCAAAAAAATCTACACGAGTGAAAAACAGGTTGCTCTTAAATCGAATGTAGCCGGTTAAAGCTTTCAGATTTCTCCACTTGTATTTCCATACATTCGAATAGCTGTCGAACCTTCTATTAAATGAGTCGGTTGTATGATTCAGTACTGTTGATAAGTTAGATAAATGAATGGACTGTCGTTTATTCATTTCAGGGAATCATTGGAGAACAATTCGACACGACCGGTAGTCGTGAGAACTTCCGGGACCAGTTGAAGGATGGCCAAAAACTCTGCAAGTGTGTTCTTTTCGGGCGAACTTCGCCACTTCATTAATTCGAAGGTGAAAAATGATGCAGACAGCAGTCGCTCAGGTGTTTACTCGATCATTCCATCGCCAAGACCTGTTTCTTGCCGGTCTTTCCCTGAATCGCTTAATCGTTCTGACGTCATTGTCGGTGTCTCATCTCAGGGTGAAGATTCGGGCGCCTCATGTTTGCTTAATAAACAATGCCAATGAACTGACAGTAAGCCGACCCAGTAGCTTTGTCCGTCAGTTCATACATACAGTATTCTTTCGAGGCACTCTTCGGCGCAAAATTTTATGATTTTCACAACACAGTTTCGAATCCCAGTGTTTTTTTTATGTAGAAGTGTCGGGACGGAGAAAATTTCTTTTCTGAAAGGAGGAGAGCGTCAAGGTACAACCATGCTAGAGTCCTATAGATCTCGAGTGTTTCTAGTGTTAATCACAACTTGCTGTTGGGAAAGCCGTAAGGTTTCATCCTCAATACACCACACAATCTGAAACAATCTCATTGCTTACGCTGAGCGTAAACACTTAAAGAAAAGAGTAAGATGTAGACTAAGATGTATAGCACTCTATCTGCTAGAATAGCACAAACAGCACAAAGAATAGAAGTAAATCACTGATGAATTCAAAGAAGCAGACCGAAAAAAAATCAAATGTTTCACTGAGACTATGAATAGCATCGCAACCCCATCGCAAACCCATTGCATTTACGTGCTTCCTGATTCATTCGTCACAAGCCTGACTACCTGCTGCACTCACCGGTCGCTCAATCGTCGAACTCTTCTTCCATTAGTGAAACACTTACTCATTGGCCAGTGAAAATTACTGTGTTAAAGCGGAAGATATTCAGGCATATTTTTTACGTGAGCTAGAAAAGTGGAAGTACAGGTCAATAAGATTGATCAATATCAATGGCACTATCTTAAGGCCTCTTCGTTGGGTAGAATACTATCACACACATTGTTTCATGGTCAAGTTGTACTTATTGCTTCCTATGGCACTTATTTCTAGAGTAGAGATCTGGTATGACTGTTCACAAGGATTTGGGTACGGAAACTTCAGTTATATCGTAATTTTTTTCTCAATAGACTGGTGAACGCGATTCAAACTGGGATCATAAAAAGGGTCATGAAGCCCATCTCGAACTTCAACTGCTTGGAGAATCTGAATCAGTTCACAACCGCGTGTAGAACACTTGGTGTAAAGGATGAGGAGGTCAGTAATACTCCTATTTTAATGTTATACGTTTTTGTTTTCTGCCTACTATAATTTTGCGGCAGGGTACTAAGCGAAATACAACTTGACCGCAGGTGTCTATGGTGGGGAACGAACGCGCTACTCCCCGGAAAGGACAATAGCGCGTTCGTTCCCCATCATAGACACCTGCGGTCCAGAGTTTTGCAAATATCTCAGCAACGTTGTGGTTGTACTCCTATTTTAGTTATTTAATCCAAGCACGATGCTTCTTACTACAAAAGTAATTCTGAAGGCAATTGCAGTAATGAGTGTATGTATTTTTCCGCTCTAATCCCATTTCAAATTCAGACGTTTCAATCGGTAGATCTGTTCGATGGCCGCGACCTTTTCTCAGTTTGTGTTACTCTTCAAAGCCTCGCTCGCAAGGTAGAGCATTTTATTTCCAACCAGCATTTAGTTTGCTGCACGTTTTATCGGCATTACCACATAACTGATTCCTTTACTAGATATTGGTACTAATAGTTTGAAAAAAAAAGACTACCGTACAATCGTTTCTACGCGGGCCCTGCTACATACACGTGGAATCAATCCCGGCGCCCATGGCCCACCAAGTCTTCCATCTCTCCGGAGTCTGGAAATTGCTACCAGACATGTCTGGGAGGATAGCAGCACTGGCTCGATACATCGAAAGGCCACCGCTATTCATTGCAAAGGCCAAATATGCATTCGGTCAAGTCCAAACGATGCTTAGTGAAGTCGAATGCATGGCGCATCCCTCAGGCATTGATCAACGCCGAAAGTTTTATCCTATTTTTTTTATATTTCATCGTGACTGGGTTAAGCGCGTTTCTTTACGTTGACTAGGGATATAACAACGAGGATTCCAGTCTTCAAGCAGTTTACCAGAGCTGAAAAAGAGTTCGACAACTACATCCGGAAGTGCAATCTATAGTTGAGATATGAAAGTAAAACAATTCGAATGTCGCCGGTGTTCTGAGGGAAACGTATTCGCAGAGCGATAAATCTTCACCCGATCTATAAGTACTATAACTTTCTGCAATGATCGAACTGGAAGCGCCTTGTTACGGCTTCCTTTGAACTTCAAGGGAAAAACCTATCCTAGCCGTCGAAGAAAAGCAAGTCTAAAGAAGTGCTTTCAGGATTTTGTTCTACTACTAACTTGACAAATAAATATGTAAAACGAAACTGGCGCGCCAAATAGCCCTTTCAAGTGGTTACGAAACCGTAGCTTCTCGGCATAGACAGAGAGGAAAACCCACGCCCCAGAGCGATAATTCTAGCGAAAACAAGGTTCTGTTCCTCTTGCCCTTTATTTGAAATGAAATAAGTGCAGCTATAAAACGTTGCTTAATAAGGGCCGGTCTAGAGAACTCCGTAAGAGTGACAGAAATACCATCGGACATTCTAAGACGCCAGCTAGTTCGCAATCGCCTATATGACCGTCTATGTATAACGAAATCTGCACGATTTGCCCTAACGGTAGAGGCGGTGATTGCATGAGTTCGGGTACAGTCTATCTGATCTCTTGTAAAACGTACGGGGACGAATACGTTGGCGAAACGGGTAGACCGCTCTACGTCCGCATAAAAGAACACCTAATCGGTAAGTCTAAATTAACACCAAACACTCCACTAGGCGCGCATGGGATGCAGGAAAACGGAGAAGATCTTGAAGTGGGAGTCACTATCCTCACGCACGAATCGACAACATCAGCACGTAAAACTCTTGAAGCGTTTTGGATCAATTCCAAAAATTCAAAAATGAACCGCAAGGAGTGTCTTGTCATCACGCGTGACCTGGCGCCATACCTCAGGCCAATCCAATGACCTGACACAGACACAGTTATCGCCCATGTATTACTGTGTGCGGCTGCTATCCATCAACTAATTGGAATACTTACGACAAATAAACGGTAGGTGTTTAAATGAAGCTGTTTCTTATGCGAATGCAAATTTATTTGTTAAGTTTTATCTGCTGGGGTTATGGAAGTGTTTGGCTGGGTAGATCGCATCTTAATTTGACCTTTCCAGGCTCTGAAGATGGCGAAACCGCCGAAATGTCAGCTATTGCATCCTGATAAATTCTATAATAACAACCTCGTGTCTGCTTATTGAAAAACATCGAATTTTCAATCAATGCCGAGGTTAAAGCAAACTTAAAGCATATTGTCCATTTTTCGAAGTTTTGCTGGTAGTCATGGTGTTTCGCTGGAGTTCCGAGGTCAGCTTAACCAGTCTGCCCCAGGTCGTCACCTCCACAGGCCGTCGCCGCCCTTGTGAACCAGAAGGGGATTCCTGACCGTGCGACTAGTTTGGTACCAGGACGGTGGTGGATCCTCTTAGGTAGCTTTCCTGATGGAAACCATGTACTGCTTCTCGGCTTGTGAGACCTTGCCAGGTGTATGAATCACCCGGTGTACATAGCAATCCGACACCCAGGAACACCTCCCAACCACGATAAAACGTAAACCGTTAGGAACGCATAAATACATCAAATACAGTTTAATACATAAATCTTCATTTTTATAGTAAACGGCCTCTTTTAAGCACTTTTTTTGTAAGCTTTCCATTTATTTGATGGAAATTAGCTGCACAAAGTCATACATGAATGAAGAATGTACCACGTTCAGGTTAGAGAATCAGCCTGAGGTATGACACTAGGTCACGGATAACCACAAGATGCTTCTCCCTGCGGTTCATTTTCGGATTTCTGGAATTTATCCAGAACGCCTCGAGAGTTTTATACGCTGATGTTTTGTATATCTGTGCGAGGATAGCGTATTGTACTTCGAAATCTTCTCCGCTTTGTCTCTGTCTCATATCTACGCCCAGTGGGTCATTTTGCTTATCTTTAAAGATACCATATATTCTCTTATACGGACGGACAGTGCCAGTACAGACGTTTCACCAATGTATTCGTTCTCGCATACTTTACAAGAAATAAAAATCGTAGACTAACTCATGCAGACACGGTCTCTACCGTTAGGGCACACTGCAATTTTGCGTTGTGCATAAACGGTCCTATAGGTGATTACGAACTGGCGTCTTATGGTGTCCGATAGCATTCCAACCAATGTTACCTCATTTTTTAATCTGGCCCTCTTTAAGCAACGTTTTATAGTCGCACTTTTTCGTTGGAAATGATTTCCTCTACACCTATCCCATGGAGCTGCACTTTCGTAGCCATTAGAAATGGCTATTTGCCGCACTAATTTCCTGCAATCTTCTTTCTGCTCTCCCTGTGCACACATGAGCAACTGTTCGAAACATTTCTTCACGAGCGCTCTTTTTGTGGGTGAGGAGTGAGAGCAGAGTTAATGGGCCAGTATACCCGCTTTCGGTACCACATGGAGGTATAGCCGTTTTCGGATAGATTAATTTGAACGATCAGAAATGGAGGCCAGTTCTCTTCCGTTTTCTCTCTGGTGAATTTTGTGTACTCTGACTATTCATTCAACAACTGAAAACATTTGTCCATCTCCTCTATGGAGCAGATGACAGAAATCGATTACAGGTGCCTTAGACGTAACGGCAATGGCAAAGCTTGCTACTAGTAGCTATCTCGTTGCTAACATCTTCTTCGTATTTTTGTTGAGCAAACGCGAGGTGTTACTATTCTTTGTTCACGATTAAGCTGACGTTTCGGCGAATTTCGC